AAAGAGTGTCTTTTTTTTCCAATACATAGTTCATGAACATGATGACAAATGATTGTTCCTGATCTTGCTCGCTGGGCATATCAGCCGGCATTTCTCCTCTCCCAATTTAGATGATATAGGAGATATACATGCGTCGTTTATTTTATTATTTTAAATTTTAAATTTTAAATTTTAAATTTTTATAGTAAATTTTTTTTAAAAATTATCATATCTCAATTCTAATTAAAAACTTAAATTTACAAAATGAACGATCATTAATCTATATTAATGCTAAAATCGAGGTAATATTTAAGTAGTCTGATCACATGCATGTTTACTGTCATTATTATTATTACTCTTGGTGGCGTTTATTATCATTTCTTTATTATTATTATTATTATTATTATTACTCTTGGTGGCGTTTATTATCATTTCTATATATTAGTATATTTCAGAACAGACCTCAATTTTTACGTTTTTCATTTTAATTTTCAAATCGTGTCCGTGTCTTTGACTTAGCCTTTTCCTGTTTTCCATAACCATATTATTTAGGTTTACTTATTATACACGTGAACTCATGCTACGAAGATGCCGTGTCTCTAGAACTTCCATTTTTTTTTCTCTTTCTTTTTTTCTGCAAATTTTGGTTTTCGTACTTTTAGTCCGCAGAAAAAAAGATGGTATGAAATGATGTACTCGCGGCCAAATTGTAGAAAATTTTAGAAAGAAAAACTTTTTTTTTAATGTAGGACAATGAGCGAGAAATAAGAAGTGGGGGAGACAGAAGAGAAATTAGACAAAAAAGAGAGCGAATTTAGAATTTAGAGAAAAAGGATATTAATAAGAGGAAAATATGAATAACCAATATCATTAATCAAATCTCTAGTCTCTATTACTTTGAGAATGTTCACTCATATTTATAAGAAGTAAAAAAAATTATTAAAACATTTTAGAAAACTTATTAAGCTCTTATAAAGTATTAAGAAATAAAACGTAAAATTACTCGTTATTTTCAAGATTAGGCAATCTCAACTGAATGTTAAATTGATGGGTTACTACTAAATACTAACATTTGAGTGAAATAATCTCTCTAATAATGCAATGTTATTTTTTATGCTAAATTTAACAAATGCTATACTTATAAATTTGGCACAAAGTATAATTAACAAATGTCAAATCTAACATTTGATAATCATTACAACAGTGTTCTTTTAAAAATTATTCTAAGTTTAGAAGTTTACTTTGACAAGTTTTAAAACTTAATAATCACATAAAAAGTAAATATGATATTTGAAAGAACATTATATTTTAGAGCACAAAATACAATAGCACATTAAATTATATGCTATTTTCACTTTTTTTTAGTGACAAATGTAATTACTCTGTGTTGCAAATAGTCTTACGTATGTTGAAGGAATCATAGAGCTGGTTCATACGCTTGAATTTCTAACGCAAATATAATATAAGTCAATTGGATATTTAGCACCAAAAAGTGTGATAATAACAAATTTCATAAGTTAATTTTATTCATACTTAAATGTATGATACTATTTCAAATGTTAAATCTATTTTTTGTTATAATTATTGTTTTGAAAATTATAAAAGTAAAATATTAATAATTTGAAAATGGTAATGTTGCAATGATTAAATAAAAAATATGTAATTAAATGCTAAATTTGTCATATACTAATTTGGTGGCAAATTAACATTGCATTAATGGAGAACAATTTTCCAACTCAATTATTAAAATTTAGCATTGTATTGGAGATACTCATCTAGGTCCATATCACGAGCAAAAACTAAACCAGTAAGACCCTTATTAAAGTAGAATGGAAAAGCAAATATTTTGGCCAAAATAATAAGGATCAGCTGCGCAAACATTACTTGATATAAATCTGCAAAGTACTTTATATGACTAAAACCCCAAAAAAGGCTTCAACATAAGGGTATGGACCTTTAAGATCCACAAAGTTGAAAGCCTATTTAATTTCCATATCCCTTGGACGATATGAAGATTAAGAGAGGTTTGAAGTCTGAATATGAAAGCTCACAAACACAAGACCATACATAACTTGCAGCTGTGAGTAGATCCCAACTTTAAACACAATTGAAGTTCATAATCAGATCGCGAAATTAAAGTTTACTCTACGAGTTTTACTCGATAGGCAAACTTTAAACGCAACTGGGTTCCTCTTAATCAGCTCAAAGATCAATGCAAATGCAGACCATCCCCCGGAGAAGTTATATAAACGCGAATAAACTAAAAACTTCACAGGCCAAGATCTCTCTCCTACTTGAAGTGTCACAGTTTGTGATTTTGCCTCAAGTTACTTCTTCACGAAAGCAAACGGTAGATGCTGCAGAAAGAAGAAAATCGAAAGTCTATCATGTGTTGGTGCTAATTAATTACTGAGGTGAAACTTCTTGATCTTGTGGTTTTTCTATCTATAGTTATGAGGAAATTCAAGGGAATAATTTATAGGAATGAGATTATGCTTTCGAAGCTCTGCTAGCTCTAGAAGATGAAGGCCTCTGAGCGATTATGAGGGCGGTATTCTCTTCAGATCCTGGACTTGCCTAGTCAAAAAAACAACTTAATAGCAGTTTGAGTTTTCTTTAGTATTATTTTTAGATAGTTGATTCATATACATACCTTCAGGATCAACTGCAGTTTCCTCTTGTTCTTCCTTTATAATTGGATCCATCAAAATCACCATGCTCGTCGACTTGAATTTAACACTCGCATTTCTCTTCAGATTGGCAGGTTTAGTTGCTTTCTCACTAGCTGAAGATCACGTATAATGTATGGGATGAAATTTACTATAGCCATAGTAGAGACTGAATCTAATTTCTGTTAGAAGTATTACTTACCTTTGGGCAGGCAACCATTTGCCTTAACAATGGAAACCTTAAATGAAATATCATTTCTGTTTGTTACCTCAAAAGTGCATCTATCGCCTTCTTCCAATCTATTATCCCGAGCGAATGCAAACCAACCATGACAGAAGTTCGTTACCGGTGATTGCTTCAGTTTCTCTCTTACTTTGTATAGGACAGACCAAGACCTACCATCTGAAACCCAAAGCACAGCATCACCTTCCTTCTTACTAAAATAAGTCTTTGCAAACTTTTACGGGATGTGCTGCCCAAATGAAAAGGAACAGAATTACTTGTAAAAGCACGCGAGAAAAATAGTCGATACATTCGGCCAAGATATGCATGTTTGCATTCATAAAAGGGTAGCCTCAATTATCTATTTCTGTTTATAGAGAATTCATGTGCTTGGGAATCCCTGATGATTAATGATTAAATAAACTAAGATTTTACCATTACTGCAATTTTAGATAGACGCGAAAGCGAAAGCCTATGGCTATGGGGTCGCTTTTGTAACCAGATAATCTTCACTGAAATGAAAACTTACAAATTGGCTTTTCAATCTTGTATATGATGCTTGCATAGAAACCGTGAAGGACGGATTTTCAGATTGAAAACACGAGCCAGCCATTTCAGGAGCTCGAGCTCTAGCGTTTCCATTATCAGGCACTCCTTCCAGGCATGTAGCAGCATTATCCACTGGAGATTATATAAAAGAAAAGTGAAAAAAACTGCAGAGGGAAAATTTGATAATACAAATCAGAGAAAGAACAAGCATTGGTTTTGCTATTTACCTGCAGGTGAGACAGAGGAGTTTGCTCTTCCATTTTCACGGAAAATTGAAACCTCGAATAATTTTTCAATGCTCTTGGTCAGAACAAAAACACAAACATCACCTACTTTCAGATCATTGTCCTTAGCAAATACCTTCCAACCATACTCAAATTTTGCTTTATTATTTATTCCATAAATTCCAAAACTATAATTTACGGACCAAGTCCTCCCATGAACTTTAAGAATCACATGACCACGCTCGTCAATGAGATACTTTGTCGCGAAGAGATATGGTACATTCTTGAGGACAAAAGAAAACCAAAAAAATAATAATGAAACTGATATCAGCTCACATTTTGAAAGGGGAAAGAAAAAGGAAAAAAAAAAATGTAGTTTCAAAAACTGAACTTAAGAAGAAGATTAATTACCAATAGATACTTGATTCCAACGTAGGATGGTTGCATGGAAACCATAAAAAAAGGGGTTTTGGATTGAAATCACTGGCTAGTTTAAGAGCATGAGCCTTTTCTGTTGCACTCAACTTCTGCCTGTCGACATCCCCACGTTTACTCAATTTTCGCAGGATAGATTTCTCCCCACCACCACCTTCTTCATCATAAAATTTAAAATTTTAGAAATAATTTGCACAGCACATACAAATTAAGCAAGATGCTAATTGAATTTTCATGCATAATTTATCAAGTTGAGAATGAGTACCTTCAGGACTGATTTTTCTTCTCTTCTGCGGCCGGGAACATGGTAATGGAGATTTCTCTCTTGTTTTGCAAGAGGGTGAACATCTTTCCAAAATTACAACAGGTCTACATCTTCTTCATTTTCTAATTCACGGGCTATTTTGTCAATATCATGCTGTTTCTCAGAACGGTTGGAACTAGACGGATAATCTATCTCTGTGGTGCTTTTGTCAAATATGAAAACATGGAATTGAGAATTCCCTTCATATTCAAAAACCAACAAATCCCCACGGCCAAGAGAATAATTCTTTGAAAAATCTGTCCAACCCTTGTCTATCCGGATTTTTTAGCTTAGTTAGTCCTAATTTCCATTGTGAACCACATGGCAGCTTAAGAAAGACTGGAGTTGATAAAGTATCTCCACACTTGTTCACAATTCTTTTAGGAATTTGCTGCAAAATAAAATACCA